TTGTATACAGTATGTATAAACCATCATTGGTGAAGAGGGAAGAAGCGCTGAGAAGCAAAATCGAGTAGTTGAGAGGTTGGGAAAAAGGCCGTTTACATTGCTTAATAAATAACACAAGGCATAACAAAATTGGAGAAAACGTCCGTGACTCAAAGCCTAATCAGGCTATAGAAAGGGTTTAGGAAAGCGCAACAATATGCACTATAATCGTGAGCTTTTCTGCAAATGGACAGAGACCCTTATAAACATGGTGCCTAGTCGCGAAAGAAGAGCTAAGTCGCTAGAACAAGAGTCTGACGTTTCGTATTTTCCCTCGAATCCATTATGAGAAATGGAGTCAGACAAGGGTATTGAATTGCTCAGGCAAAGTAACTATATCGAGCAAACTGGACGATAACGCCAAACGCGAATTGTCGAGTATGCGGTAGCACTGAAGAGAAACGACGCCAGCTCCCAAGTTCCGGCTCCTTCGATAGGACCCGACCACACATTCAACTTTGATGAAGCTGAAATTCTCGCCAGGATAATCGAGTGAGCCGCCAACTGCTCGAGTCACGCTGCTGCGGCCCTCCGTAAATCAATAAGCGTATCGACCTCCCCTCTCCATACTCGATGCTGAGAGCTTGCCTGTGCAAAGTAGTTGGCCACGGGGAGAGCGTGCGGACGATCAGAGTTCTCGAGCCAACTTGTCTAAGAACTCACAGGGATGAGGAATCCCAGGCGTTAGCAAGTCGACTACGAACAATCATCGCACCGAAGGCAACCACATGAGATGAGCGTGAGAATTGATAATTTTGATACATACATTTGACCCAGTTGTGAAAAATTCACGGCCTCGGTGGGAGTCCAACGCTGTGGTAGAGCATTGGCTGCACAAAAGCCTTCCCTGGTGTGTGGATTCTACTCCCGCCGAGACTGTGAATTCTTCACAATTGAGTTAACTTAATTATTCAAGCCTGCAAAACCCTCCTAATAATTAAGGGAGCCTAGTAGTCATTCTGGTGGATTCTAGATGATTGCTTAGGTAACCCTGCCTGTGTCCATAATGGTTGATTCCA